TATTATGCTATTATTCCTATTAGACCCTGGGAGAATGGGAGAGGTGTCAGGTCCCAGAGGCAATGCATTGCAGTATTGTTATTATGATGGTGGTGAAATAAAAGGAAATAAAAATTGAAAGAAGGAAGCAAACAGGGAGGGAAGAAAGGCAAAGGAAGAAAGGGGGAGGGAATGAAGGAAAGAGAGAAGGATGAAACCAAGTAGAGAAAGAAGGAAAGAAAGAAAGAGGTAGAGAAGGAAGAAAGGAGAGAAAGGGGGAGGAAAAGGGGGAAGGAATAGGTAGGTACCTCTCTTTCATAATAGTCCAGATATCTACCTCAACTTTGATAAGTTTTACTATAGGCCACAGCAACGCGTGGCAGGGCACAGCTAGTGCAATATATAATCTAAAACCTAGAAAACATATAACCATTAAAGTTGAATTAAAAATTACAACTATTAAAAATAGTTAAAACCATTAGAACCAATTAAACAGGTACATTTTTAGTGTAACTCCAGCCAAAAGTAATATATCTATATTAGGTTTGGATAGCATAGGGAAGGGTCAACTATTTGTGCCCTTCTTCAGATTTCAACTCACTTTCCGTCCGTTATTGGATTTTGAAAAAAATTGGCATATTGTGAAAACAAAGATTAGAGATAACTAGCAGTGAATTTCACACTTCCTGTAGTCTCATCCCTGTTCTTAACTATGAGTTGTTTGTAAGTCAGATATTTGTAACTCGAGGACTGCTATCTATCAATCTATAAAATCATCCCTAAATACAGGCCTGCAAAACACACACACACATAGTGCAGTGGTTCTCAACCTGTGGGTCCCCAGATGTTTTGGCCTTCAACTCAATGTTTTGTGTCCAAATCTGGTGTCAATTTGTCCAGTGGTTTTTGAGTTATGTTAATCCCACAACCAAACATTACATTTTAAAATATTTTTCTTTTGTGTAAGGAGTGGCTTGAGAAACTGCAAGTCGCTTCTGGTGTGAGATAACTGCCCATCTGCAAGGATGTTGTTCAGGGGACGCCCGGATGTTTTGATGTGTTACATCCTTGTGGGAGGCTTCTCTCATGTCCCCACATGAAGAGCTGGAGCTGATAGAGGGACCTCATCCGTGCTCTCCCCGGATTCGAACCTGCGATCTGCCGGCACAGAGGTTTAACCCACTACGCCACTGGGGACTCCTTTTCATTTATATAGAAGACTAGCTGTCCCCTGCCACGCGTTGTTGTGACCCAGTCTGTTGATCTGGAAAATAAAGTAATGAGAAAGTGTTGGTTTCTAATAGATATAATGTCTTGATGCTTGTGGGTAAACAGTACTTATTGCTGTTTCTTTGTCAGTGTTGATGTGGAGAGTGTCTGGTTGGCCCATCCTAGAATATGCAATATATAATTGTCCTTCTTTAAGGGTCCCTTTAAAATCTATGATACTATCTCTCTCTGTGTGTGTGTGAATCATATCTATCTATCTATCTATCTATCTATCTATCTATCTATCTATATCTATGGCTGAATGGCGCTTTTTCAGGAAGACTTTGATTACGTTTTCTTGCCCTGATGAAGGGAGTTGGATTGGATGTCCTTAAGTATTTTCTGTTGGTCATGGGGGTTCTGTGTAGGAAGTTTGCCCCGATTCTGTCATTGGTGGGGTTCAGAATGCTCTTTGATGGTAGGTGAACTGTGAATCCCAGTAACCACTACTCCCAAATGTCAAGGTCGATTTCCCCCAAACTCCATCTGTGTTCATATTTGGGTGTATTGAGTATTTGTGTAGAGTTTGGTCCAGATCTATCATTGTTTGAGTCCACAGTGCTCTCTGGGTGTAGGTTAACTACAACTCCCAAACTCAAGGTCCATGCCCACCAAACCCTTCCAGTATTTTCTGTTGGTCAAGGGAGTTCTGTGTGCCAAGTTTGGTTGAATTCCATCGTTGGTGGAGTTCAGAATGCTCTTTGATTACTATACTACACTATATTACTATACTATATTTGTATTACTATACATCCCAGCAACTACAACTCCCAAATGACAAAATCATAATTTTTTGAGTGATGGTCACTCCTTGTGATGTGAGATGTTTTGTTGCCAAATTTGGTGTGATTTCGTTCATTGGTTCTTTTGTTTTTAAGGTACTCATTATGCACAGAGCATTTTTATATATATAGAAGATATAGATATAGATTAGATATATATATATTTATATCGAATCTAAATATAAATTTAGAGATATATATATATATATATATATGCCATTCTAACACCCTTCAGTTCTTCAGGCCTGGGCAACTTGGGCCCTCCCCCAGGCGTTTTGAACTTCAACTCCCACCATTCCTAACAGCCTCAGGCCCTTTCCTTTCCCCCCCCCGCCCCTCGTGAGGGAAAGGGCCTGAGGCTGTTAGGAATGGTGGGAGTTGAAGTCCAAAACGCCTGGAGGGAGGGCCTAAGTTTGCTTTGTCCTGTTCCATAGTAATAGTGATGTATATGTGTGTGTATTCCTATAAAGCCAGCCCAGAAAGCAGGCCTGCCAAGCTCTTCTCTGTGAAGGCCTGAGGCGTGCCCTCAGTCCTGCATCCCTGGGCGGCTTTGATAGGCATGTCTAAGTGGCGCCTCCCTCGGCTGAAGAGGCCAGAACTTTTTCCTCAGGCGGCGGTGGGCGGGGCCTGCGAGGGGCGGAGCTTGTGACGCGCGTGTTGTGAAAGCGGACTCGGCTTCCGAAAGAGCGCGCGAGGCGGGACTGCGGCTGTGAGGGAGACTCTCTCAGTCGGGAGAAGCAGGCAGGCGGGGAACGTCGGGATGGAGGCGCTGGCGGTGGACTGGTCCTTCGCCCTCCCGCTGCTCTTCACCGTCCTGGCGGTGCTGCTCGCCTCTGCCTTCGTCAAGCTGCGCTCCTCGGGAGCGGAGAAAGAGGAGAAAGAGAAAGAGAAGGAGGGCGAGGAGGAAGCCCACGCCAATGCCGCCTCAGGAGAAGTGGGGGAGCCCCGAGAGGCCGAGGCCAGGACCGTGCCTCCTGCTGCTGCTGCTGTTGCTGAGGTCGACCACCTCGGCGGAGGAGAAGGCATCCCCGAGGAGAAGAAAGGGGAGGAGGGGGAGCGGAGAATAAGCGTCCCTGTGGAGAACCTCGGGGCCGAAGAGAAAGAGGAGGCTGCGGCAGGAGAAGGAGGAGAAGAAGGGGAGACCCGGGAGCGGGGGAAGGAGGAGGCGGAGAGGACTGCCCGAGAGGAGCCCCAGCCCTCCACGACGCCCTCCAGGCCGGCTCAGGCCCAGGCCCAGGCCGAGCGGGAGGAAGAAGAGGCGGCGAAGCCCCTCGCGAAGGAGGCGGTGGCGGGAGTAGCAGCAGCAGCAGGGGCCTCTGTCGCCGGGGCTGCTTCGTTAGCTGTCGAAGGGGAGCAACAGGAGGACGAGGAGGAGGACGACGACGACGAGGAGGAGGAGGACGACGAGGAGGAGAGCAAGGTAACGGCTGCCCTGCCTTGGATTTAAGCGACTTGTTTGGGGTCTCTTCAGACCTCGGAATAGGAGAGGCTTCTAGACCTCTCAGGGGCCTTGGTTTTCTCCTGGGACCTCCCGATCTGTCATCAGCAAGTAAAGCTATGAAATATGTCAGACTCCTCCTCCTCCTCCTCTTGTGAGTTTTCCAGGCTGTATGGCCATGCTCCAGAAGCATAATAATAATAATAATAATAATAATAATAATAATAACCTTTATTTATACCCCGCTACCATCTCCCGCAGGACTCAGTGCGGCTTACAAGAGGCCGAGCCCAAATACATCAATAAAACAACAACAACAACAATAAATAACTCATAAAAGCAAAAACAATACAATAATAACACGACACATTTTAAAAACCTGTGGCAGGGCCAAATGTAAGAATTAAAATTTAAAAATGCTGGACATGTCCAAGGGAAATAGGAGGGATATTTTTGGGATAGGTGGGCGTGCAGACATTTCTAAGTCTCTCGTAAAGTGCATTTAGGACGTATTGCTTAGGATTCCTTATTCTGGGAAGGCACACTGGAACATCCACGTTTTCAAGCTCCTTCTGAAGACTGCCAACGTTGGGGCCTGTCCTTGGGGAGACAGTTCCAGAGTTGTGGGTTCTCTGGAATTCTCTCCTGACGTTTCCCCCACATCGATGGCAGGCATCCTTAGAGGTTTTGTGAGGTCTGTTGGAAACTAGGCAAGTGGGGTTTATATATGTATGGAATCTATGGAATGTCTAGGGTGTTAGAAAGAACTCTTGTCTATTTGAATGTCTCAGTTGGACGTCTTTATTAGCATTGAATGGCCTTGCAGCTTCAAAGACTGGCTGCTTCCCGCCCAGGGAATCCTTTGTTTGGAGGTTTTGGTTTTTTTGTGTCAGGAGCAACTTGAGAAACTGCAAATCACTTCTGGTGTGAGAGAATTGGCCGTCTACAAGGACGTTGCCCAAGGCACGGACGGATGTTTTGATGTTTTTACCATCCTTCTGGGAGGCTTCTCTCATATCCCCACATTTATTTATTATTTATTTATTTATTTAAAACACTTATATTCCGCCCTTCTCACCCCGAAGGGGACTCAGAGCTGGAGCTGACACAGGGAGCTCAACCACATTCTCCCCGGATTCGAACCCGCAACCTGTTGGTCTTCAGTCCTGACTGCACAAGGGTTAACCCATTGCGCCACTAGGGGTTCCGTTGTTTGGAGAAGTGTTAGCTGGCCATGATTGATTCTTTTCTGGAATTCCCCTGCTTTTTGAGTGTTGCACTTTATTTACTGATTTTAGAGTTTTTAAATACTGGTAAGGTAAATGTAAAGGTTTCCCCTGACATGGACTCTAGTCATGTATGAGTGTGGGGAGTGGTGCTCATCTCCATTTGTGAGCCAAAGAGATGGTGTTTTCCGTAGACACCTCCAAGTTCAGTTGGCCACTGGCACGACTACATGGAGCGCTGTTACCTTCCCACCTCTGCGGTACCTATTAATCTACTCACACTTGGATGTTTTCATCCTGCTAGCTTGGCATAAGCTGGGGCTAACAGTGGGAGTTCACCCTGCTCCCCAGATTCAAACAGTCAACCTTTCAGTCAGCAAGATTAGCAGCTCAATGGTTTAACCTGCTGCGCTACCAGGGGGCCCTTAATACTGGTAGCCAGTATTCAAACTCACCTCAAGACAAGAGTTCTTTCTCCCACCCTGGACATTATTCCACCAATACATAAATCCCACTTGCCCAGTTTCCAACAAACCTCACAACCTTTGAGGATGCCTGTCATAGATGTGGGTGAAATGTCAGGAGATAATGCTTTTGGAATATGGTGATACAACCCAGAAAACTCACAGGAACCCAGTGATTCTGGCCATGAAAGCCTTCTAAAACACACCCTCCTCCTTTTCTTCTTCTCTCCACTCCCATCCCCTTCTTCTTCTGCTGTCTCCATTTCTTCATTGTCTCCTTGTCTTCTTTCTCCTCCTTCTTCCTCTTCTTTTTCTTCCTTCTCCACCTTTTCTTCCTCTTCTCCCACCTCCTCTTTATCTTTTCCTTCCTCCTCCTCCTGCTCATCTTTTTCTTCCTTCTTCCCTCCACTTGTTCATCGTCTTCTTCTCTCCCCGCCTCCTCTCAATCAGTCATCAGTCAAACTGTATTTATATCCCACCCCATCTCCCTATGGAGACTCTCCTTGTAATCAACTCAGGAAATCCACTAGTTGCAGGCGGTGGCTGCTATAAACTAGGATTTGAAGTGGGTGGGGTTGTCCTATTCACCCAGGCGTTCACGGATATAAATCCAGAAAGGAGATGTTCAGATTGCCAATGAAAAGTTATGCTCAATTATGTTGATAATGTTCTCTATTGCCAGGACTCTATAGAATTTCTGTGAAGTACAGCTATTGATAAGTTTGGCTTATGCTGACATTTTTGACCTAAATTCCCAAAGAACCAAAATCTGGGTTTGAGGTTTTCTGTGATGCCGCGTGGTGCACGGATGAAACCCTTTTAAATGGCCCCTTCTTCCCTAATGACAAATGGTACCCCCTGATGCAGTCTTATGGTTTCCAGGAGTCATGAGAGGCATTGTGGTGTCGTCTATTTCCTCAGAAATATGCCTGAGGTATACAGCTGAGCAGGAGGCAGTGGCATAGGCAGCTTAGGATTTTTTCCGATTGAATATAAGTGAGCAATCCTAAGGGCAAAAACAAGACATATTGCCCGTCTGTCACTCCTGCCAACACACTGGTTCTTCGCTGCCTCTTACTTCTTGACAGCAAGTTAAAATTTTGCTTGTCTGGACTAAAAAACTGCAGAGATAACATTTATCTGTCTCCACTCTAGACTTGCCTGAAAGATGTTTCTAAATACAAAAAAATCCTCCCACACCTCTTTTTCTTTCTTTTTAAATTCCCTTCCTTTCCTACTTCTTCTCTCCAAAGTGGTTAGATTAGATTTTTTGTTAAATTTCTTTTTTGAATGAGGAGCAAAATTATCTATTGCATAGGCTCTTTATCTGCAAGAATCAGTTGGTATGGGTCACAGCATAAATCTAGGAAATTCTGACTCTGCTCTGAGAACATGTTGTGCTTCGATACTTAATTTGTAAAATGAAGTTTGTTGGAACTTGTGAGATTACACTCCATAGCTGTGAAGGCATTTTCCCATTTTCAGACGAATGGCTGTTGGGTGTTGGTACTATAGTAAAGGAAATGCCTTCTGTACTTGCTCTGAGGCATCTTTTTATTATTGCTTTTATTTTCTTACGTTTTTTTTGAGATAATAATAATAATAATAATAATAATAATAAACCTTTATTTGTACCCCGCTACCATCTCCCGAAGGACTCGGTGCGGCTTACAAGAGGCCGAGCCCAAATACAATAGTAAAAACAACAGCAACAACAAACAACAAAATGACTCAAAACCAAAGCAATAACATTTAACCACACACAATGACGCAATTAAAATCAATGGCAGGGCCAAATGTAATAATTAAAATTAAAAGTGCTGGGCATGACCAGGTAGAGTGTTTGGAGGGGATGGGCATGCAGATATCCTGGATCTCTGATAAAGTGTGTTGGGACTTAATGCTAGGAGTTTCCATATTCTGGGAAGGCACACTGGAACAACTTGCACTACAACCATATTCTCATCTCCAGGTATATTCTGAAGTTCTGTTGCATGTAGTAGTTTAGTTCAGTTTGTCAGCCATCCAGCCAGTCATTGTTTTTCTAAGAACCTTTATTCCATTCTGTCTCCCATACATTTTCTTGTCCTTACAGTATTTATTTATCGTCTCAGAATCAAATTGAGGGCACAGTTGTAATGTATTTAAAAACACAAACAAAGTTTAAAAACCTGGCATTATACTAAATGTCCTTTGCCCAGTAGCTGGCTACTTGGAGTGCCTCTGGTGTTGCTATAAGAAGGTCCTCCACTGTGCATGTGGCAGGGCTCAGACCACATTGTAATTTGTGGTCTGTGGTTTGCTCTTCTCCATACTCGTATGTTGTGGACTCCACTTTGCGACCCCATTTCTTAAGGTTGGCTCTGCATCTTGTGCTGTCAGAGCACAGTCTGTTCAGTGCCTTCCAAGTTTTCCAGTCTTCTGTGTGTCCAGGAGGGAGTCTCTCATCTGGTATCAGCCACTGATTGAGGTTCCAGGTTTTAGCCTGCCACTTTTGGACTCTCGTTTGCTGAGGTGTTCCTGCGAGTATCTCTGTAGGAATCTGTTTCTTGATTTAAGGCGTTGGCATCCTTCGAATCAGAATGTTAATTTCTCAGTGACACAAAATGCTGTGTTCATTTTGGTACAACACAACACACCAACTCCTCTGGGTGCTGCTAAGAAATGCTCCTTAAGTTTGATGAGGAGACACTGCTTATGCTGACTGGGGAACTGGTAAACGGAATCCAAAAAAGCCAACCTTTCCAGGCTCTGGGATAAAAAAACTTCACTACTGCTAATACTACTAATAATAATCATTATCACCATGACCACCATCATCATCATCATCTTTTTTTTTTTTTGACTGCCCTATCTTCCCCGGGGGACTCAGGACGGTTTACACATACAAAGGCAAATATTTAATGCCCTGCATATACCAAAACATTACAACAATAAACATAATACAGAGTAATAGCATTGTACTAGTCAGATGAAATTAAACATCAAAATAAAAACATAGAACAATTAATTACTAAATAAGTACATTTAAAACCATGGTCAACAATTAAACATCTAACATAGCACAATTAAAAATTGGGTAAGCATTTGGCTGCTATGGCATATTTACATATACACAAGTCTACTAGGGTTGAATGTAGACATGTGAAGCCTGAGCAGAGAAGCAAATTATGTCCTGTTGGGTGTGTGGTGCTCAAACCTACCCATTTATGTATGGGCTGAAAATCTCACAAGTGCCTCTGCCCTCTCCCTAGCTTAAAAACAACAATAACAAAATAGCTAGCAATTTGCT